CTCGAATTCCTCGTCTTCGTCGGGCAGCTGAGGCAGTCTACACTGCAGTTCCAGGCTATCGGCGAAAGCCTCGGCCTTTTCCTGGTTCGTGTAAACCACCCCCACACTACCGTGGATTGGAGGAATTTTACGGCGAGCGGTCTGTCGCAGGGCCCTCTGCGTTTTCCAGAGGCTGTTGCCTTGTGGTTCCAGCGACTCCAGGTGCCTAACCCAGTTGTCCTGGGCCAGTTCACCCAGAGCCGCCTTCACCCGTCAGTTTAGTACGTTTAAGTCATGTCTGTGTCGGGGGAGGCGGGTGACAGTGGCAAGCCGTTTCGCATGTCGTCTGTCACGTATTAAGTTTTTTATGTCATCGGGGAGGGTGCCCCGGGGGTTTGTCAGTCGGGGGACAATAGTCTCCGTCGTAGTCTGAGTCAGGGCGTTTTTAATGTCAGTCTCAAGGGAGAGGATTGCCGCCTCCAGATCATGGGTGGTATGTTTTTTAACCTCACTTTTTAAGTTTTTAACATACTATGATTGTTGTTTGATATATTTACAGTCAAATAAATGTTATATTATAATGTCGAAGGTAGAAAATATAATACTACGTATATTTTCTATAATATATACCTATGGTTGTCATTTGAAAATGTTTCTCCTTCATCTTGTAATAAATTCCATGGTTCTATACTTGATTTCTATGAGATTAATTTCGGATGCATGTGAATTATAATATTATCATTCGTACGAATTAAAATATTTTCGGATATCGTACATCGGATTTCGGATGCATGGGACACCGGCCTAACGTACGGCCACAGAATATCCTAAGTTAGGATCTTCTGTGGTACGGCTAATAAAATTATTTTAACTGGGCCGTTAAAAAAACATACAGAATACCAGAATTATTTTTTGCGGTAGGGTTAAAATTAATATTTTAACGGGATGGTTAATTTTACCCTATAAGATACAGAATACAGCTGATAGTCTACTATATCACAAGTTGAATTAATATGTTTAAAATCAAACAAAAATTTATATAGAGTTTTTAGCAAAATTGCTTAACAGTTTTTAACTTTCATTGTAAATTAATATTGCAAACACACCATTGGCCTACTGATTTTTCAGTATTTAAATCCTGTAGGTAAAGTATTTTTTTAATAAGAATGACGTGGGAGATGTATGCTAAATCTGGTGGTAATTGTTCCTAATTTTACAGTTCAATAATCATATCAAAGTACGCATGTTGTCTCCAATTTTGGCATTCTATTATGGGGAGACTATAATTTTTTGATGTTTTTTTTTGTAGCTGGACTAAACTACTAAATTACATTGGCTGTGATGATCCCTCTATAAATTTACATGGTGACAAGTTAAGAGATAAAGAACGAGCAATTTTGAAAGAAAAATTTGCTGTAACTATTTTATTGATAATAATAAACCCTTCTTTATTCGAGAATATTTTAGGGATTCAATAAAGAAATTGATGAAATTGCCAAGGTTCAGCGGGGATATTCGATACCAGATATAGAATTGCGTGAAAGTATAAAAAGGGACAACAAGGAACTAATCATACCAAAATATAATGCTTTTTATAATATGTGAGTATATATTTTTATAATGGACCTCACATTTATAAAACTATTTTACTTTCTAGGTATGCAGGTGCCCAATTTACAAAAAATCCTGAAAAATACATTAAACATAAACCTGATGAAGTTGCCGCAATCATTGATAGATTTTTTGATGTAGCAGCATAGATTTTTAATTTAAGTTTCTTTATATTCTCTTTAAAAATAACGTATGTATAATATATATAAACTGTCAATAGTAAATATTGCAACAAGGAATGAAACTGCCGGTTTTTTTTTAGTGGGTAAACAGTTCACGATTTTTTTAATTTTTTGAGTATATTGCCCCCGTGAATAAATTAAAAAAAATTGTGAAATAAACTCTGCACCAAAAGGTTCAGTTAAGAGTTATTTTTGGCAACCTTAGTAGGAAAGTGCCTTTCCTCCACTGCTCCATTTGGGACGCGGTACTGTTGCAAATCTGTTCAATGTTCAGTCACGGAACTTCACAATTTATGCCTTTTAGGAAAATTCAATTCCGACTTCTTCCATAGCTTTCAGTTGTGCATTGACTTTTTTTTATTTGTGATTTTTGATTTTTTTTATGAAACTTCAAAAACCATATTTAGAGATTTTATATTCTGTTAAGAGGTATAGGTAGACACATAGTAACAAAAATTTTTTTTTTTATAAATCTTGAATATAATCAGATTTTAATAGACAAACTTCGGGAAAGTACTAAACAACAAATTAACATCACTTTGCTCTATGAACATAGGCGCAGAGAGCCACCGTTTATGAGATACAGGGCGTTGAAATTAACGAAAATAAAACGATTTTTTAAATATCTGGAAAACCGATTCATCAAATTTATCCAAATTTGGTACACATTTTTTTTCAAATATTTCTCCTAGTTCTGTGTGCACACAGTTCAAATTCAAAAACCAGTGGCGGAGAAACAAGAATAGCGTGTCGTTATTTAAAGTTAAACTTCTACGCCACTGAATTAATTGGTAATATGAATACATTTTATAACAGTCTGAATCAATCCGAATGAAAAAATATTCCTTTATTCTTGTTGAAAAGTGAATGGTTTACGAGTTATGAAGACATATTCAAGTAAAAAATAGCGTTGAAGTAGGGAAAAATAAAATTAATTTGGCTGGTCCAGATTTTACTAGACAAACTTTGGGAAAGTACTAAACAAAAATTAACATCACTTTGCTCTATGAACATAGGCGCAGCCACCATTTATGAAATAAAGGGCATTGAAATTAACAAAAATAAAACAATTTTTTTAAATAACTGGAAAACTGCTTCATCAAATTTATCCAAATTTGGTACACATTTCTCACATTTCTTACCAAACATGTCGAGCTCAACTTTTAAGTAATACGAACAAGTCGAGTTAAATTAAAAACAAATAAATTAAATGAATCGCTCGAAGTGTCCACCTCCAATCTCAATGCATTTTTGGCATCTTTTGGTTACAGTGACTCTATACAAGACAGTGGCGACAATAGAGTGTATCATTTTTAATTGGTCCACGTGATTTTAGCTGCCATGTTGCATTAAGTGGCAACTTCATCTGTGATGTGTCATGTGTCAGAAGCGTTCGTATGGTGTTATTCAATATTTGTATTGTTTTATTTTAATTTTGGTGATTATTAGTGATACTATTGGGTATTCTGTGCTATGGAGTAGTAATAATGTTTGCAGAAGCTCCTATAAGGACGACGACCGTGAATTTCTTTCAGGTCTTTTGGACACCATAACAAAAAATATAACGCCTACTTATGAGGAAGTTAAGGTTCCTGCTAACATAGAAGAACCAAAATTTATTCTTAGTTTTAGTGAATTAAATTCTCTTTATAATGTGTGCGAATATATTGCTCAAAGTATCATTAAAACATCAAAAACTTGTACAAACTGTATACACGCTGTTGGTTCTAAAACGCTGATTTAAAAAATATTTTCAAAATTTAGCATACCTACTTAAGAGATTTAGAGAACATTAACTCTTTTTTGCAATGAAGCGGTATTTTGTTTCTTCTTGCAGATGGAAAGTGTTTTACAACATTTTTTGCGATTGTATCTTGACAAATATAAATTTAAAAGAGTTTTTCTTAAAAGAAATGTCTAGTTTAAATTTAGATCTACCAAATTGTCATCAGATCAAAAATAATAATGTTAACAGATTTGTTATGTTCCGATTAAACATAGCTTCCAAAAAATGCCAAAAAGCAACAAAAAAAGCTTGCAAAGTAAAAGTGTTGCTGGACATTTATTGTAACAAATACTATCACTAGTATTAAGTATTTATTTTTCTAATGTAAATCCAATAAATTTCATTGTGTAATGTAGGTATGCTTAATTTTACTTGCATAGAAAATAAAAACCAATAGTTGCTACTATTATATATTTATCCTCCCCTATTGCACAAGTAGATTCTACATTCATTCATTATTTAAAATCACTTTCCAAGGGAGTTATTTGCTTAAAATCTGTGCATAAAATGTATAAGAAAAATACTCTTGCCCTTAATTTATTTTTTATAAAAGTTACTTTTAATTTGACATTGGATGCAACATGGCGGATGGGCGGGGTTTAGTTGCTATTGTCGCCACTGTCTTGTATAGAGCCACTGTACTTTGTACTAGCTGGTCTCTAGTTGCTATAGGAATGGCATAAACGTCATATTTTAGTTTACTCCAAATAAAATAATCTAAAATATTTAGATCAGTTATCTAGGTGACCAAGGTATGGGGCCATTCCGAACTACCTGGCCAGAATGTGCTGGCGCTCCGTCCATTTGAAATCAGGTCCCGATTCGTTGGTCCAAAGGTATGTCCTCCATTAACTGGAAGAGGCTATCGTCAAAAAAATTTAAAAACAGATTGGAATTTAGTTTAGGTAGCAAGATGTGAGGTCCACAAAGATTATCCCTTATAACTCGTATCCATACATTTATACGGAACTGTTGTTGAAACGAGTAACGTCGCACTACATGGAGGTTTTCATGCACCCAGATATGATTGTTCTTAAAATTAAAAATACCAGTTCTACTGAAACACAGTTCATCAGTCCACAGTATTCTATGTATGAAATTGAGATTTTCATTCCACCAGTTGACCATCCACTCACAGAACCTTAATCTTCTTTGGTTGTCTCTTGGCAGAAGATATTGTACCAAATTTGGATAAATTTGATGAAGCGGTTTTCCAAATATTGAAAAAAAAAATAATTTTTGTTAATTTCAACGCCCTGTATCTCATAAACGGTGACATTCTGCGCCTATGTTCATAGAGCAAAGTGATGCTAATTTTTGTTGTTTGGTACGTTTCCGAAGTTTGTCTATTAAAATCTGAACCACCCAAATTCGTTTTATTTTTCCCTATTTCAATGCTTTTTTTACTTGGATAATATAGTCCAAGCGGTATCTGTTTTAAAAAGGGTATACTTGGGTAAAACGCATATGATCGGAGATTTTTGCTTTAACGGCTTCTAAATAACATCAGAAATGATAATTTTTCTATGCAAATAAAAAAAATCGTGGGCTTAATTGTTATTGCAAAAAAGTATAAAAAAATTGCAAAAATATTCATTTTTTTCTTGGATTACTTGTCGACAACTTAGCAACTATTCATTTTAGACAAAAATGGAAGAGGAAAAAAGTTTTGTAATTAAATTTTGAACACGATAGAGTTAGTTGCAATTCGAAAAAATAATTATTGTTATTGAAAAAATCGAAAAAATCATTAAAAAAATGGCAAAAAATGCTAGTTTATTTGTCAATTTTTTTCAGACACTTAAATAATACCTAGGATCGTCATACTTTTCCCAATTAAACTTCTTAGTGCATAGAATCATCACACCAAATTTCATCCAATTCGGTTCTATAGTTTTTACATAATAATTGTTTAAATTTTTTATTTTTTTTAAATTAAAAAAATTTTCAAAATCAAATTTCTAAAAATCTAAAGCCTTTGAATACTTTCACCACAAAAATAAGAGCTCTCAAGCTTTAAAATGGTTTTTGAAAAATTCAAATCAGACGAATAGGTGAGCCGTGGTGATTATTTAAACATTTTCCCAATTTTTACGCTTATAAACAATTGCAATAATTTAATGTTTTTTTCAATTTTTATTTTATTTTAAAATATGGTTTGAAAATAATCGGAAAGACGAGTATTTAAAAAAAAAAAATGATGATCCACCCATTATTTTCGGAGTTATAGCCCGTTAAAGTTAACCCTTATTTACAGCAAAACTATAAGAGTATAAGGGCTGTTTTTTGAACTAATAGGTTTGTCATTCCGAATACTTTCCAGATACAAATTTTCAAAATTTGCAATCACGGGCGTTCCATTTAAAATGTCACTCAGAGATATTCAAGACTGCGTGAAATCAATGAGGTATCAGTGGTGGGGGGAGCAAACACACAGCTACTCCGACCTGAATTCTCGACTTCAAAAGTGCGACGCTCGGAAAAATTTCACTTATCTCAGCTTCTAATGGACCATTTTCGATGATTTTTTAAAATCGATGTCTCGCAACTTAAAAAATTCAATTATCATATTTTCAGCTATCTTTTATTATTAATTATTGGACTTTTGACATGCCGATAAACAGTTACTTTAAAAAATGATTAATTTAAATAAATAACTATAAATTGGTATTAATTTCTTAAAATCATTCAAAAAAAAATAAATTGTGAATAATTATAATTTTAATTTTTTCGTTTATTTTCAAAATATTTATCTAAAATTTAGTTTTTATTTATATAAAAAATTATAAGAATCTTTCGGATACTTGAATAAACAGTATTTACACACTTTTCATGTTTTTTCAAATTTTAAATTATTTATTTCAATTTTTATTTATATTTAATCTAATCTAATTCTTTTACTAGTTGGTGATTTTTCACATGCCTGATCAGTATTAATCACAATCTATTTCGTCGTCGATTTCCTCGTCCAGCAACTGCAAAATATAATTTTTATACGACTCTGAAATCTGATTGCCGAGTTCACTTGCACTTTCTTCTGACATGTCTTCTTCAAAATCGATTTCGAACTCGTCTACTTCCACTGTTTTGGAAGCATTTTTACACATTTGCTCTTGGCAATGGGTGCAATACTCAGAGCATTTTTGAACTCGAGAATTCAGATCGGAGTAGTTGTGTGTTTGCTCCCCCCACCACTGATATTCAAAGGCTTTAGATTTTTAGAAATTTGATTTTGAAAATTTTTTACAATTAAAACAATTATTATGTACA